CAAGCGGGAGCTTTCATGCACAGTCAGTGTATTCAAATTTTTATCAAGACGAAGCCAAGATGTTCAGTTCGTTGGGCCCAGGTAATTAAAAAGTTGCCATTCGTCACATCTTTATAATAAATTAACACACCGAATTCACATACAGACGGAAGGTTGATAATGGTATGATATCTGTGTTGTTTGAATAAATATGCATAGTGATTAGACAAGTGAAGCTAAGTCATCATCTAAATACTGCTATCTCGATCTGCATCATGACCCTCAGAACCACAGCAAATATGTTATTACATATAGTGAAAAGAGCTTATGTTTTGTACTGTACATGTTAGCAGTGTAAACTTTTTTGTTTGTATGAGCAACAAGTTACAGAACCCTCACAACTAAATAATACTGCTTTTGTAGATCATTGCTAGTGATTAAAAGAGTTACAATCATATCACAATTACATGAATAATATTTTATATATATATATATATATATATATATATATATATATATATATATATTATTTTAGGCTACAACTAAGTTTTACTTCATATATATATATATGAAATAAAGCTTAGTTGTAGCCTAAAATGGGGTTTCATGGTAAATTTTGTTGGTTGAAAATTAAAACCATTCAGTAGATTAAAGAATAAATTTTTGTTGTTATTTTAGGTAGAAGATGTTTGGAGACTGGTCAGAAAGAGCAGCCAGGAATCAGATATATGGCAAAGAAAATAAAGTGATTAATCCAAGCACCCGAAAAAGAAGTTTTGTGAAGAGGATTGACTTACTGCCCAACAGACTGAAATGTATTTTTGACGTTTATCTACTTTGAACAAGTATTTGTATCTACAGTTGAAGGACACCAATGACCTGACAGATAGCTAATGTCAGCCATGATGATCCAAGCAAGTAGCAAGGAGATCCCCCATAAGGAAGTACAGTAATTTATGGGAGCTTCATTAAATGATGAAAACTGACACTTTTCGATGACCTTTTTTTACAAGGAGTTTTTCAGACATGAATTTTTGCCCCAGAGACGTGGAATTCCGCATTTTTTAATTCAATTCAAGGTGTCCCGGACCTCTGGCCGCTTAGGTGTTGAGTCCCTTGATAAATGTTCGGAGTTCTTTTTTTATTTATTTATTTATTTATTTATTTATTTATTTTTTTTTTGAAACCTAGGATCATGTCTGCTTTTTTCTGTTTCATTTTACTGAAGATATCCGTGAATGCCACCTTTAAATGGGATAAGATCTTACTGAGATATTGATATGGAATATCATATAATTTTATTCCTTGGAGCAAAAGATCAGTTTGACTTAAATATTTGGAAGCAGCAATATATGTTCCTGGTCCTGAGTAGTGCAAAATAATCCATGAATTACACCGTTACAGAAGTTCAACTTATTTCTTCATTCTTCTCAGGAAGGGGATTCAGTTGGATAATATAGATTTGCATTACTTTGATGTTCTTGTAGAATGAAAATCAACCTTACTTTTTTTTTGAAACATTCACTTAAGTCTTGAGTCAAAACTTTGTCGGTGTCTTATTCAGTTAAGGGTGACAGGAGTAGTCTTGAATGGCAGTTACAATGCCTTCCACCCATTTATTAAGTTATTGGTAATACATATTTTCCAGTATGAAGATTTGAATTGTTTGCTACACTTTCAAATAATTTGCTTATTTATACTTAAACTTTAAAGATCCAATAAAGAGATGATTGCATTATGAAACATTGTTGATTGATTAAAAGCTGTGTGTGTGATTGGTGCCCACTTGTGTCCAATAATTGTAGTAGTAGTAGATCAAGAGAAATGTTAAAGGAATACAGTTTTCTTTATATGATTAAATGTAAGAAAAATGTGGTTTTTTTGTCGTTTTATTTTCTGAATAATTTTTTAATTTGGCTAAAAATATTTTTAATTAATTTTGTAAGCTACAGTGTTACAGGGAATACCATTCCCAGGTGTACAATCCAGATGGAAGCTATTGAGCAAAGGGTAAAAACTTGAGGCCAAGTAGCAGGTTGAAAAGGGTTTATGTCTTGACCAAAGCTACATAAATTTCTATCACAAGTCATCAAAATATGAATATGACGGTTTATGTCTTGACCAAAAAGGGTTTATGTCTTGACCAAAGCTACATAAATTTCTATCACAAGTCATCAAAATATGAATATGACGGTTTAAATCCCAAAGGTAGGCTCTGTTATAGGGCAATTGCCTATTCTTGTAAAGTCTATTGTTCAATTCTGCCGTGATTAGAGTAATTGAGCAGGTATTACTGGCCAAGACAAGAGCAACACCCATCCAAATTTTACAATTTTCGGATATTTTAATATTAAAATATATCGCCAACAAAAGAAAAGGCCACGAGGATCTCCTTTGTACTTTATATTTTTAATGTTCCTTTACAAACCCATACAGGTTTGACAGCCATAGGACCTCTACTAGTGGGTATATGACCCTCTGAAAATCGCCATGCGTAAACTTAGTTTTGGGGGGTGGGGTAAAAAAAGTGGGTACAGTGTGGACAAGGTGGGTTATATTTTTAGTTTGAATGTCTTGGGGGGAAGAATATTGATCAACAAAATACATCATACATGAACATAGTAAATATATTACTAGATAAGAGTATAATAAGCATATATATGAGTGACGTGTATGATAACTGAAAATATGCTTCGAAAGCTGGAAAAACAGAAAATTGGGCATAAATCCCCTGAAATACAGTTTTATGGCATAACATTTGGCAGAAGTTAAAAGGGTCCTCAGGCAAGTATTTCAGCCCAATAAGGTCAAATTCTGTGAACCC